GAAAAGGACATAATTCTGTTCTTACCCTTAAATTCTTCATTTATAAAACTGCATTTTCAGCAATATTCATGTGGAATAATTCTCTAAATATAATTCAGTCTACAAAAAATATGATACATAAACGGCTTGGAATGGAATCAGCGTTGAGATTCTCTTTAAGAAATATGATAAGCTTACATAATATATATATATATATATATATATATATAGATATATCTATATATATATATATATATATAGATGTGTGTTGTGTGTGTGTGTGTGTGTAGTTTAAAAACTTTTAATTGCTTCGAAGCCAAGCTAACCATTTACATTGATATTATATAAATATATTTAACACTGTGTATTTAAAATTTTTTTCAATGAACACTGTGTATTTAAAATTTTTTTCCTTTGATTATTTTATACCTTGTTCCATTTATATACACCTATATACATATAGGTATAAAATACACAGGCCAATAAATTTGAAACCTTTGAGATTTTCATTTGAATGCATGCTAGGGATGAAGTATGCAATTTTTTTTATGACGTGGGTTACACGTGGTTAGGATGCTAGTATAAGTAAGGTGTAAGAGTCCTCTTCACGATGAATGAAGTAAAATGGGAAAAACGACAGTTCTTTCGCAATTTGAAAAGGGCTTATAGATGGTGCCCGTTTAGCAGGGGCCGGGATTTTGAAGACAGCCAGCAAACCTCACTGGGTTTTCAAAAGCAGCCATACCAAAGGTTTTCGAAAGCTGGAATTGGAACCCGCAGTCCTTCTCTAGGAGACGTAACTGCCGTTCGAGTACAGCTTTTTAAGAGAGTGATCGGCGTCGTCTGCCGCGAATTGTACGGCAGAACAGGGACTCTACTTTGCTTCAACTGACACAGATCGTCAACCAAGGCTCATCCCAACAGATTTCAGCTCGAACCATGTGCAAAGAATAGGAATGCATATTCGGGTACCTGTGAAAATAACCATTCATTTCTGCCCGAGATGTATGAACTCGTTTGTAGTGTTGTCGGGAAAGAAGACGCTGGACACCTGAGGGTTGGAAACGGGTAGTGTGGTCGGATGAATCACGGTACAGCCTATTTTGCGCTGATGGAAGTCGTCGAATTGGGAGAGAACTCCATGAAGCCATGAATTCATCTGGCCTTACTTGCACCGTGCAAGGGTCTGGTGAGAGTATCATCATATGGGGCATGTTCTGTTGGCATGGAAATGGAAGTGGTGCCCTGGTGTTCCTCGAGAGTAAACAAATAGCCATGAGATATCTAGATATACTGGCAGATCAAGTGCACCCTGCAATGTTGCATTTTTAGCCTGATGGCAACGGATATTCCATGGACGATAATCCAACCATACATCGTGTCAGCAGTGCTCAAATTTGGTTCGTTGAACATCAGTCTGACTTCAGCACCTGCCCTGGCTACCGCATAGCCCGAAACGTAACACCATAGAGAATATGTTAGATATAGTGGAAAGACGCACTCAACAGCACTCTCCTCTTCCGTCTAATTTACAAGATCTAAAAAGTTGCATAGCCAATGCTTGGTATTATCTGGATGTAAGTGCACTCCAGAAGCACGTAGACTCGTTGCCCAAATGAATCAGATCAGTTATCTGTGAAAAAGGTGGTGCAATAAAATATTGATTTTGGGTTTCTAATTCCTTGGCCAGTGTGTGTGTATAATTTAAGGATTCCATATAAAAAAACACATATATAACCCAAACTCACAAATAATGTATTCTCCAGTATTATTAACTTCATTCTGAAGAATTTTCTGCAGTCTACTTTGCGTTATTTTAGTCATAAGTTCCGAATCAAAAATTATTAAATGTTTGCATGGCGTTAGAAAATTAACCAAAAAGCAGCTACCACAACGTATATGTAATTTGGTAAACGATCCTTAGACGTGAAAAGGTTGAAAGACATTTTTCTCAGATAATCAGATACTTATGTACATAGCATTCGAAATGCAAAACTTAATATTTACTCTGACGATTCCTTGGTGCAACAAATATGTGTCTTTCCACCCCTATGCCTTAAAAAAATGTTATTTGCCTTACAGTTTATCGTTCAATAATTCATTTTCAGTATACAAAATTGCATTCATTCAAAGAGTTCAGTTTGTTTCTTAATTTCCTCTCTATAAAATTGAATGCAGAGAAGTTAAATGTTTAAACTACCCCCACATTTTCCCAAGAATCCGAAGCGGGCACTCTCTCTCCCTTTCCATCATCTCCCGTGTTTAGAGTCGTTTGTAATTTATGATTTGACTGCATTTGATTAGTATTTGCAGTTAGAAGAAGTTCCCATATTCCTTACAAGCTATCTGGTTTGTTGTTCTTCCTCTTGGACAGGCAGTTTTTTGTACCAAGGCCTTTCTGTCAATAAAACCTTTTTCTGTTCTTTCGGTACTCTATGCGGTTCCTATCATTTTTTTTTGTTACTATATTTTCCACATCTTTTCATCACTACGCTGTACTTCTATTGTACGGATTTCTCTTTTCACCGTTGACGTTTTTGCAGAAATACAGCCCAATTCAGAAAAGTTGCCTAAGTTTTGCAGACTAGTGTAATAGGCAAGGACGACAAATCCCTAACATCTTACAATAACTTTGTGGTTTAGCTATTTGGTTGAACATTCAGTTCAAGTTTCATTTCGCACCACAGAAAATATAACTTGACCTTCAGGCAAACGTAGATCTTGTCTGGATGCCATGAATAAAGCAATTCCTGACTTTAGATATTCCAGTTTCTGGAATAGATAGCAACAAAGTTTTTTTAATCCAATGGCGGGCACTTACCTATTCAGCATTGCGCCACTCCTAAGGGCAGAAGTGATGGCCATTTTATTGTGGAGGCGCCTACGCCACCGTTGCCTCCTATGAAGGAAAGGATAAATATAACTGTGCTTTCTCCGAGATTCGAGCACGGGCTTTTCGGAACCGCAGTAGGCTTCTTTAACCATTATACCGTCTGGCTGGACAACAGAAACAAAGTAGTCTAGCATCCGTTCAAAATTTAAGGAAATACTACAGTTTTTATTGAAAGTATATAATAAAGCATATCAAAGGTAAGCAAAGGATCTTGCGCATTTTCACGCGGCAAACCGAAGCTAGTTAGTTGCTGCAACACCGTGACACCAGCTCAAAGAATTAGTACTCGACAAAACTGTATCTTAGGCGGCTGCAAACAGAGATGTTGGAAAGAGAAATGCATCATACACCAGTTTCTTTTTCCATTTTTCAAATAAAGTTTGCCTTTTAACAGATTATTGCTGGGACTTAATAATTGTTGAAGTAAGAAGTTGCCTCATGGTTAGTTATAATTTCAGTTCTTAACAAGGTTATTAAACATCTTTATTGCGTACTTAAATTCTGGTAGGAAAAGTTGTAGAGTATTCATTTATTTTTTTTAACCAGTTATTTTCTTTAATGTCTTTCTCGCCTTCCTGCTAGATTGCTAATATCTAATACGGGCGCATTCAAATGAGGTAGAAAGAGACAGTATTTAAAGGAAGGTTTTAGATTGTAGAATCAGAGTGTGTTCCGTCTGCTGAAGGCCACATTACTATTTGATTCTCTTGACAGCAGTTTATCTGCGGCGTTGCATTATTCTCGCTATTAGACTCGTCAGCCGATGTTAGATTTGAGGCAACTTGCGCGCATTCTCTCTATGTAGCCTTTGGGCTAACGTACAATTTACTTAGTTAAATTATAATTCATTTATTTCGAGCTACGCGTTAAATGCTGGCTGGTTCTGTAAGCTCAAGCTGCGCCGTCTGTTAATCTAGTGATTTAAATACACTCAAGTCTCTGTTGTAATTTCTAAGACATAGCGAGAAGTCGCTCATGTCTTCCAGAATTCTCTCCTCTAGTTAATGATACCGAAGAGGATGAGACTCTATAAGCACATAAATAAACAGTTCTTGAGTCATTTAAATGAAATTTTCAAGTAGTTATATATCTTTTTAAACAATGTAATAAGACTTAAAGGCAAAAGCTGAATTAAATGAAAATGTTTATTTTTTCATTACAGTAGCAAAATTTAGTATACACAAAGCATCTACTCTGAAAATAATGGAGAAATAAAAATAAATTAAAAACTGGAAGAAAGAAAAACGACTCTAGAAAATATTTAGCTTGACATATACGTACATAAATACTATGTATTTGCATTTTGAATGCATGCAATAAATAAATATATTAATAACATAAAACAGCATGCAATGATATAAAACATTTCGAATACTTTTACAAAGAACTACAAATGAAAATATAGAAATAATTTGTGTTAGTACTATGAATTTAAGTAAGGAATTTCTATATTTTTTAATTTAAATTCATTTAAAAGTGCAGAAAATTAGTAAACTTCTAATCCTATAGTTCACGTGTTTTATTCACAGTAAATAAATTTTAGTTGCCGCAGATGCAAATTGGAGAAACATTTGAGTTTATGGAAGGAATAATTTTCATTTTGGAAGCACTTCAAACTTCAACATTGGAAAGAAAAATTTATTTTTAAAAGTATTTCGAAATAATTTTGTAATTTTTGTTCACGAAAGATCTTTTTATTTTTTAAAATTTTTTACAGAAATGCTAAATGCTAAAGCTAATCATATCCGCTTTAATTTTACTATAAATTCCAAATTATGAATTATGAACACAGTAATCAATATAAATATTACAAAATTACATATAGTGTTTTAAAATAATGTAATATTATAAAATTATATCAGTGTTGTAAAATTACAAAACTATGAATATACTGATGTGACTATACAATACAAAATAAACATCGGTGGAAATACTTATTATAAATAATCGAAAATTATTTGAGCTTCTTCTGTATCTCATGAGATTTAAATTACGGTACGGCACTGTATTTTCTTTAACAAAAACTCAAGAAATAAATGAACGAACTAAACAGAGAAAATATTGAATAAAGAACAATAACATTAATCACTTTCTGAGAAACTACAAATAAATTGCAGATGACTTCAAATTATGAAGATAATTAATTTGCACCTTCTTTATTTTTTCTTAACTTATTTCAGAACACATAATTTCAGAAGTATATAATTTAATTCAACGTAGTTTTAAAAGTTAATTCTCTCAAATAATATTTTAAATTACATTCAACAAGGCATAAATGTTATTTGTCTTTATAAAAGAAAAACTCAGTTAATAATAATTATTTTATGACATTTCTTCGTATTTGATTTGTGCATTTTTCTTAGGAAAGTAACTCATAAAGTATTGCTGGATGTCTTCAAAGTTTTTACCTTTAGTTTCTGGAACAAAAAAGTAAGTAAATATGCAGGAAAGCAATGAAAAGCCAGCATATACGTAATAGGCTCCATAGTCATGAATGGAAAGTTCCAGAGCCTGAAAAGTCTTAGTTATTACGAAAACAAAAAACCAACAAATTGCAGTTGCAGCACCGCATATTAAACTACGTGCTCTGACTGGTGTCAGTTCGGCCATCATCAACCAAGGAATAGGTCCATATCCTATAGAGAATGCTGCAATATAGGCGATGAGGCTTGCTAAAGGAATCCATCCATAATTTTCTCTAAATGTTGTATTAGTAGTTCCAACATAATCGTATGTTCCTAGGACAGTTAAACTCACTGCCATTCCGATTCCTGAAAAGATTAGCAACGATTTTCTGCCGGCTTTATCTGACAATGAGGCACTAATAGCTGTGGCAACGACCAATACAACATCGATTACAATAGTGGCAACATTCGGATCCAGAGATGAACTTACTGCTTTGAAGATATCTACAGTATAAAATAAGACTGCATTCGAGCCTGATGTCTGCTGAAAAAATACCAATGAAAATGATATTAAAGCTGATATATAAATTTCTGGTTTCCGGAGTTCTTTTAGAGATATTGCACCTTTTGGTTGAAGACGTAAATCTTCATCAATCGCTACACACTCTGCTGATGCATCAAGGTAATCACCCTGGAGGAATTTTACAGCTACTACTGCTTCTTGATAAACGCCTTTGCCTATCAACCACCTGGGAGATTCTGGAATAAAACATATGGCTATTGTTGATGAAATTAAAAGCACGCAAGATGGTATTGCTAACCATTCCCAGGTAAGGACTGCTCCTAGTCCGTTTACTATAAGCACTCCGACAACAATGAATAATTGAAATGATGAACCAAGTAGACCCCGAACATCTGGTGTCGATATTTCTACTAAATAGGCTGGCGTAGTAACACAAGTAATGCCAACGCAAATGCCTGTAATAAAACGTCCAGTGTAAACGTACACTAAGTGATCCGCGTAGGCAATGAAAAGCCAACCTGCTAAAAATGGGACAGATGTGAATATCAAGGTTCCTTTTCTTCCAAGTTTATTTGATAAGTAACCTGTAAAAAGAGATAGATATTTTAATTTCAAATGACAGTACTTTGAAATAGTATCTCACTATTGATAAAGTACATAAGGAAAATTAATAATGAAGCAGAAAGGTTTATTTAAATGTACGATCAGAAAATAGTGTAACCATCAATCATCCACAATTCTAATTACAGATAGTTTCAGAATTTTATTCGATAAAGGAAATTTATTCGATTTAGGAAAGAGAAATGTCTTTTCTTAATGTTTGGCTTGAGTGTACTGGAATAAGCTATGACAATTATTTTAAGTTTTATCAATAGTTCAGCTTAATTTAAACACTGTTCTGTCTTCCTCTCTTACTTCCCATATATTCGTTCAGACCAGAAAATTATGCAAATTAAGAGCTCGGGAAACTGCATTTAAACTAGTTATGTTAACTGCAACTCAGCCTTATGGAGCAAAAGGAGGTTATGTTGCCTGAAAGAATTAGCCGTGTGTACTTATTTTCTTGCCCTTGAACTAAACTTGTGTTTTTAAGTTTATAATCTTATTAAAACTTGCAAAATGAATCTATTTATTGTGACTAGTCATTGTGCTATCAACAGTACAAAAGAAACCTGTGTTTTAGTGTATATGAAATGTCATTAATTACAATCCTAATTTTGACAATGCACTTTTAATAAGTCATGATTTTAACGACAATTTTGACTTGGTATTTTATTTAAATGCCACTTTAAATATTTAGAAAAGTAAAGCGTTAAATATGTATTCTTTGTCTTACAACACAATAGTATTAGAAAATCTTATCAAACGAAAAGCTTGATGTAATCCAGCGCTTCCATACTCGAGAATTTAATTAAATTTTACTTTGTCTTACTAAAGTCAAGTATAAATTATACGTATGAGAACGAATTGAAGTAATCAGATTTACTTAAAAGTTTTGGTTATTTATTAAAGTAACACTCTTTGTAGTTTAAGAAACAATCTAAATGGTCCAACGATTTACGGTCATTGCACTTGAATTATCACTTCCATCTAAAGCAACGCTTTGTTAAACTGATTGTGATAATAACGTTAGAAATGCACATTATTAGTTTGGTAAGAAAAAAGATTAATGACGCAATACAATTCAGAATACCTTAGAAAAAATTTTAATTTTTTCTCTTGCCTTTTAGTAAGATATTAACCCTTTGTTGCATACAAATAATCTAGAGAAGTTAAACGAAAATATTTGTATTTTTTCTACTTAAAATTGTAGAGACATTAGGATATTTTTTGGAGGCCGGAGAGATGAAAATTAACACAACGCCTTCGCCGGGAATCGAACCACGGACCTCTGGAATACCGGGCCAGCGTGCAGAACCACTACACACCACGAAGGACGCTTGGAAGCGGGAGAAATACCTTATATACTACTCCCCTTTTTAAAGGGCGACTAGGGTTTTAGGGCACCTAGTCGCCAAATCCTGGGTGTGGAGATAATCATCATCCACAACCCTTTTAGTTTCGGGCGCCACTGTAGAGACATTAGGATATTTTTGTGGCCGGAGAGATGAAAAATTAACAACGCCTTCGCCGGGAATCGAACCACGACTCTGGAATACCGGGCCGGGCCAGCGTGCAGAACCACTACACCACGAAGGACGCTTGGAAAGCGGGAGAAATACCTTATAAAATAACTTTCTATTTAATAATAAAAAAAATTAATTTTATTCAAATTTCGTTTTAAATAATTGCTACAGTTTGTTCACTACACAGTGGACAGCATGCATATACGTACATGCATACTCCCAAATCTCTTCCCAATGATTTACGGTCATTGCAATTGAAATTCATTTCCTGCCTTGTTTGCAGTGATCATTACCATCTTCTAAATGGTAAATCTACAACTGACATGTACACACAGATCCCCCAAAATACCTTCATTTCGTCGATTGTGACTGAATTCATTTTGCTACGATTTTGTAACCTGTACCTATTGAATTCAAATGTAAAATGTTCTAGAAATTCCTTGCCAAACATAAACATTTCCAGTGGTGTTTTGGCTTGATAAGGAGTACATTTGGGTTTCAATTCATTCTTTTCGGTAGATCTTTATCTACCCACTCCCCAATTTTCTCAAACTGACATTTAGAATAAAATTTCTAAAATTACTAATTATGAATAAAAAAATGGCAGTTTAAGAAAATGTAAGCAATATTATATAATGTTTACTATGAGAAATTGTACTAACTTGAAAACAGAAGTAGCGGCCATTTTCCAAATAGCGATGCTTTACTTAGTGATGCTATACAACCATCTATGATCGACAGTTGAAAGTTCTAATAATATAGAATGAATAAACACAGGAATGGAATCTGTTAAGGCATTTACAAAAGAATAAACAAATTTAAACTGTTGTCTACTAGAATAGACATGATGCAACAAAGGGTTAAAATATCAAGATATTAGAATAGTTTTTCTTCCTCCCCAAAAAATGATTCGGTGAAAAGTTAGAATAAAACTAGCTTTTTCATATAAGTGTAATGTTATACTCATGCTAGTAGTATGAAACAGCCGGTTCAGCACCAGGAGGCGGATTGCAAATGAGCCCGCAGGGAAGGCGGTGCAAGCGGAGGCTAATTGATAAGTGTTTCGGGATTTTTGATTTAGTGGATAAGATGCCGTCACCGAAGGAGGCTGGATATGTGATAAGTTTATATGTGGTTTATTAGGTGTCATATATATTTTAACCGGAGAATCAAAGCATTTGCGTGATTTTGAGGTATATTTCGAGAAAACTATAAATAACAGGTTGCCGTGATCATGCCGATTCGTATTTACTGTGTCGAATAATCGTATTTCCTATTGCAATGAAGAAAACATATCAAGATCCGGAAAAAGTCGCAAGTTACGGAGGTTTGGATGCATTATATCGTGCTGCGCAAGGCAAAATATGGAAGAAAGCGATTAAGAAATGGTTGGAAGGTGTAGATGCTACACAAACCCCTTCGCCACCAATTTCCCACGACTCGCGTCATAGTTTATAGCAAAGATAGCCAATAGCAAGCTGACTTAATAGGTGTCTTGCATTTACGTAAACATAATTATGGTTTCCGATACATTTTAACATTATAGACATTTTATCAAAATTTGCTTGGGCGATTCCACTCAAACAGAAGCGAGGAGAAGATGTTATAAAGGCTTTTACTGAAACTTTCACGGACCGTAAGGTGAAAATGTTGCAAACAGATCAGGGAATAGAATTTAAAAATATGAGGTTTCAAAGATTTTTGAAAGAACATAATGTACGATTTTTCACAGCGTTTAATTCTACAAAAACTTCCGTAGTGGAACGATTAAACCGCACTTTAAAAACTAAAGTGGGGAAGTACTTTACAAGGCACAATACTTTCAAATATATAGATGTGTTAGATAAGTTAATGAAAAGTTATAATTCATTCGAGTATTAAAAGAGCTCCTGCGGAGGTGAATGATGTAAACGAGTCTAAGGTATAGTTTACATTGTAGAAAGACTTGGAAGAAGCGAAATCCGCACACTGTGTTTTCAATGTAGGAGATGTTGTTCGCGTCTCGAAACGTAAATTATTATTTGAGAAAGGGTATGAAGCTAACTGGATTGAAGAATTGTTTATAGTGACGAAATATATTAAAAAACGAAATCCATTTGTTTATACCGAAATATACTTCTTGTGCTTACCGCGTTTTATTTCTTTATACCGATTCGTATTTACTGTGTCGAATAATCGTATTTCCTATTGCAATGAAGAAAACATATCAAGATCCGGAAAAAGTCGCAAGTTACGGAGGTTTGGATGCATTATATCGTGCTGCGCAAGGCAAAATATGGAAGAAAGCGATTAAGAAATGGTTGGAAGGTGTAGATGCTACACAAACCCCTTCGCCACCAATTTCCCACGACTCGCGTCATAGTTTATAGCAAAGATAGCCAATAGCAAGCTGACTTAATAGGTGTCTTGCATTTACGTAAACATAATTATGGTTTCCGATACATTTTAACATTATACACATTTTATCAAAATTTGCTTGGGCGATTCCACTCAAACAGAAGCGAGGAGAAGATGTTATAAAGGCTTTTATTGAAATTTTCACGGACCGTAAGGTGAAAATGTTGCAAACAGATCAGGAAATAGAATTTAAAAATATGAGGTTTCAAAGATTTTTGAAAGAACATAATGTACGATTTTTCACAACGTTTAATTCTACAAAAACTTCCGTAGTGGAACGATTAAACCGCACTTTAAAAACTAAAGTGGGGAAGTACTTTACAAGGCACAATACTTTCAAATATATAGATGTGTTAGATAAGTTAATGAAAAGTTATAATTCATTCGAGTATTAAAAGAGCTCCTGCGGAGGTGAATGATGTAAACGAGTCTAAGGTATAGTTTACATTGTACAAAGACTTGGAAGAAGCGAAATCCGCACACTGTGTTTTCAATGTAGGAGATGTTGTTCGCGTCTCGAAACGTAAATTATTATTTGAGAAAGGGTATGAAGCTAACTGGATTGAAGAATTGTTTATAGTGACGAAATATATTAAAAAACGAAATCCATTTGTTTATACCGAAATATACTTCTTGTGCTTACCGCGTTTTATTTCTTTATACCGACGTTGTAAAACCACAGACCGTGGGTGATGTTTTAGCCCCTCTCCTTCGAATCGTCAAAGTAACAGGAAATGACGGAGAAGTCGTGTGTGAACAATATGATAGACCTCACTACTTACCTGTCAACCGAAAAATTATAGAGAAGATTAAAATTGTTATAAGAATGCACACAGACGAATTGACGCCATTTGAGCGCTGAAGTTCATACGTGAAACTTCACTTTCGCCAAAAGTGCTTGTTATGATGTATGTGTTGATATACTTGTCATGATGCTGTCAGAAATCTTTTGAGGATTACTACTTGCAGCAAACAGGGGATGAACTTAATTTTTACCAAAGTGTATCTCACCAGAAGAGATATGGTTTTGGCGGCTTATTTAGATAATGTTTTCGAGCAGC